GTATGTTTTTAATCAATCCTCGTTTATGACTGATCTCTTAAACATCTTCGTTACAGGCCATGAGTTTGCCACGCTTTTTAATTTATTACAGACTAAGAGTGGATTATTTTATGACTTGTCACACAAGTGGAATTTCGCACCTCTTAATAGTTCTGTAAAGCTAGATCAAGTCAAACCATATTTGGTGCAATGACAAAGCAGTAAATAAAAATATAAAGCGGGTATGCGCCTGGTCACAGTCCGTGTCCCTTAAGCCCATGAAATTAAAAATAGGAGAGGGATTATTTGCGGGCCTGGTGTGGTTTTAGTGTGTGAGATGGAGTGTGTGTTTGCAGCAGCAGCAGCGCACTTAGCACGGCTTTAAATAGCTAACTCAAATAAAGTGAGAGGAGGCCGGGGATCAGAGGCTGAGAGGGACTCTGTGAGGGAGGCATTCCCGAACGGAAGCTGGCCTTTGGATTTCCAAACAGCAGTTGGAGTGAGCAATGTCAGGAATGTGATGTCGTCCAGCAGCAGCAGCAGCAGCAGGGAAGGCAGCGGCTGTGAAAACCGCCGGGCCACCAGGTGCCTGAGCAGGGGTCCAGCTGGGGAACAAAATGGCGGCAGGTGACTCAGCAGAGAGGGGACAGGAGCCAAAAGTGGAGGTTGCTACTTTGAGCAGCCTCTCTCTCTCAGGCCTTTACTGAGCAGGAGCAGAGCTGCTATCAACCCTGAAAATCAAGTGAATCAGTGAAAAGGGAAGACGACTCCCCCCTCCGATAGAGCCTCTTTCTCATCCACAAACTGCTCTTCTGCCTCCTTTTTTACACACTGTGTTAAATTTCTATTCTTTCTCATCCTTTTTACCTTTTGACGGCCTTCTTTGTGTGCAGGCTGTGGGAAAGTTTCCCGTAATGGTGAGGTCATCCACCACCGACAACCCCCCCCCCTCCTCACCATCATCCCCCACCCCCCACACACACACACACACCCCATCACTACACACACCCCACTCTTCATGCTGTCCCTCTTTTCTCCAGGACTGCAGGACTGCGATGTGTCCCCACGTCTCTGTCCCACTTCCAGTTCCTCGGCTCCCTCCGCAGAGACCCTGGGCCTGAATAGAGCCTCATTCAAAACCGGTATCTGATGATCTGGCCTCTAAAAAGTCTGGAGCAGCACAGCGACTGGAGACAGACACATCAGCACATCTTTGAGGCACCTTTCTACCGTCATGTGAACACACTCAGATGCTCTCAAACACACACACACACACACACACAAGCTTGGACACACTTTGACGTTGCCAAGTTTATTCAATGTGTTGGTTCTTCTTTACATGTGTGGAGCTGCGTCGCTGCATCTGCAACTGTTATTCTGCATCAGATAAGAGTTCTTCTGAGCCCAGAAAGGACGAAAGATGCTAAAAAATCAAAACCTGAACGTTAACAAACTGAATATTTGTGAAATACCTTTAAGTTCTTTGCATTCTATGAAGTGAACAACTCATTTATACAGGGTGCAACTCTTTAAGTTTACGTTTGGTGGCTCATTACTGCCATCTATTGGTGAAGTGGGTAACTGCAACTACAGATTTTAAAGGGTCATTCCACCCCAAAATCAATATATCACATTTAATCCAAACGTGTGTGATTCTACAAACATAGTTTGTATGTTAAAGACATACTATGTTAAAGACATAGTGGCTCAAACTTAAAAAAGTTATCATATTTAAGATGATTGAAAACAAAAAGCCTTCATTCATGGTCCAACCAGGATGAGAAATGCTGTGAGGAGACAGCAGAGACCACGGCTCACAGCCTTCTGCAGCCTCCTCATTCAAACTCATCTTTATAATTTATTCATATTTGGATTTATTTTACAATAAGATCTCCTTTTGACTCACGTTCATACTTTCTACTGACTCCTTATAAGTTGTAAACTTTACATTCATTGAGATGAAACAAAAACCAAATATTGTTTTAAGTAGACGTAACATTTGCACTCACTTCTAGTTCACACTTTACACTCCTTTAAGTCTCGCCTCAAAACATATTTTTACAGTATACGTGAGCGTTTGATTCCTCTGGTCCTGAAGCGGCCTCAGCGCTTGACAGACTGTTTGACACCAGGTTTTTTCCAGGCACATGCTCGCGACCCACTGATAACAGTCTCGCAAACCACTTTTGGGTCCCGCCCCACCAGTTGAGAACCACTGGCCTCAGAGGACATGCATCCATGCATTATATTTCACCGTGATAACGAGTCATTTCTGGTTGTTTTTTCTCGAGATCTTGACTTACTCATGGCGTTATCTCAAGATAACAAAGCTGGTTTTCCTGTGACAACAATTTAAATGACTGAATTTAACTCGTTGCCATGGCAACACCATGATTAAAAAATCCAAAGATAACAAGATGAATAAGTCATGATCCTGAGAAAACATACAAAATGTACTAGTTATCCTGAGAAAATGAGTAAAACACATGCATGTCTACGGTAAAATATATAGGGCATGTATGGATGCAACGACAGAAGGAAAACCTCCCTAGGGGGCACCATCTGACAGCACTTACATTTGTTGCCCTGCTGAGCGCTACGTGCATGATTGCTGCAAAGCTGGTCGGAGGGCCCCCCAAATGGTTTTTAACGAGGGCCCCAACAGACTCTAGAATCTCCACTGTATGAGATCTCTGTGCATCAATGCTCAAATGATCTATACTACAGTTGCTGTGGTTTCATCTCAGCATTATTAATCTGCAGAGGAGGTTATTGACCTGTACAGTGTGTGCCAGTGATGATAATAACTAATCAAAACCTATTTCATTTTTGTACCAGCTGTAAATTAATTTATGCTGTAAAAACAGCTTTTTTGTATGTCTTGTGTATGTGACTTCCTGTGTTCCTGCAGCCAGCCTCTAGTGGACACTCGACAAACTGCAGAATTTGGCACTTCCGCGTTGGCTTCATTTTTCAATACCGGAGGTTGCTGCTTGGTCCACACAGGCAGCGTTCTGTACGCACTGTAGTATCTTCAGTGTAGCAACAATAAGTCAAACAGACGAGTCAGCTCAGAGGTACACCGCCTTTAATCTTAATGTACAGTATGTGTTAATATACAAAAATATATGACAATGAAGAAAGACTTTTACACATCTGTAGAAAGGGATAAATACTATAAACACAACACGATAAATCCTTCTGAAGCACGACACCACCACAACACGGCTTTGTCCTCGGACAGTATTGATCGCTCTGTACTGGTTTGCACAAAAATTGTTGATTAAAAGGAAAGGCTTCAGAACCACATTTATACATAAATATATCTGTTTTTCATCAAAATATTTGATTCTCTGCAGGTTTAATCAGAAGTAAATGTTTTATACTCGCCAAGTCTGACAGCCAAGGACAGTGTGATGTTCAACATGTAGAGATAAAACTCTGATAATGTGACAAAATGTAGTTTTCACACCAGATCCTCAGGGACAGGACGTGTGTGACTTTATACACTTTTTACAAACATTTCCATGGATGTCTCTTCAAGTAGAGCCTTAGGGAAAATGAGTTCAACTTTATACAAGACAGTCTCGGCTCCCTCTAGTGGCGGCATCTTGCAGTGCAGTCAGTCCAAAATACACAAGTTTATTCTGAAGGATGGACCCCCTAAAAGACCGGGTTCTGGAGTGTGTTGGTTTGTAGTTTCTCAGTCTCAGTCCAGGTGAATCTTTTACTTTGAAGTAAGATTTTTTTCTTCTCAGTTCTCTTCACTTCTTGTGTGATCCGATCATGACTTTTGAGACGAAGTTGACGATGGCGCTCGCCGGCTGCTCGGGGTCGTGCTCGGCAAACAGATGGCACATATTGTCAGTCTCACTCTGGGATTTCCTGGCTACGAATCCAAAGATCCTAACAGAAGAAAACAGAGAGAGAGAGAGAGAGAGAGAGCCCTGACTCAATATAGGTAGACTTTGCAGATTTCAAGTTACAACAGTGTCATTTAGAAGTTCAGTGTCTCGTGTAGAGTACGACCTAATGCAGCCATTCAAACTGTTTGGTTGAACTACGACTGTTCAAACTTTAAAATCCCCGTTAAATTGCATTTGTGTTTTTTTAGCTACATTTCCACCTGCCTGACGAGTTCAATGTTAAACTTGGATTTTGGATGTGAAACAAGTTCATGGACACCTTAACAAGACAAAAGGTGGCTTTTTTTTCAACAGAATTTAGTTTGTGTTTGGTGTCTTGGCTCAGACCTCATCACTACTCACAGTTTTCATATACATACAGAAATTTAAGGAGTGATGGGATGATATCAATCTTCCATATTTAATCTTCCTATTTAACACTAGTAATGCTTAGTTAAATCCTGGTTGTATATATTTACATTCTTATTTTTTATATCTTTTAGTACTTATTCACTTTGTAGTTAATATTATATTGTGTTTAGATTGCTAATATTGTGTTTTTTACTCATATTGTGTGTTGGATAACCTGCTGCTGTAATGCCACAATTTCTCAGTTTGGGATCAATAAAGTAATTCTATTCTATTCTATTCTATATCTTAAACCCTCCAGTCTGAGCCTACGGGTGGATGCTGGGGTGGTGGTGGGGCTGAGCGACAGTGCTGTACTGGTGTAGGTTAGCGCTGGCAGTTACAGAGGCGAGGGAGCTTAAATAGAGCGCTAATCAGAAGGAGGTGTTGTCAGGTGATTGTGGATATTGAAGCATGTCAGGTGTGAAATCAGTGCAGCTCGAGTCGCCTGCCTGAACGAGCTCTCAGGCGTCGCCTCATTTGTGTGTGATTTGGCACACAGCCACAGTAAATAAAAAGGGACTTACTTTGCAGTAGAGCCGCTGTCTCTTGTCCACCTGTGAGGAAACAAAGGACAGAAAGTCATCAAACTTTTATCAGACATCAAATGTAAACATTAATCCATCCTAACTTCAGTTCAGTTCAAAGCACTTTGTTGGCATGAATGTGATGTAATAAATGTACTCACTTCCTGCCCTGAGGGTCCAGAGAGCAGAAGATAACCGTGTTGACAGCGTAGTGTCTCCTGAAGAACAGCCTGAAGGAACCAACAGAGAGAACCTCTTTAACACAAGTTTAAAGCAGGTAATTAATATAAAACCATTTGAATTCAAATCCTACCTAACTCAAAGTTTTATAAGCTAAACTAAATAAACAAAATGTGGGGAAAAAGTGTGATTAGAACAAACTTTACTACAAAGCAGTAATTGAGTTAACACATCTGTTCCTGTGTGTTTGTGTGAACAGCGTTGAACACTCACTTCCTCTGGTTGTCGGTCAGTGTGATGCCCTGAGCCGACACTTTGAAGTGGACCACGGTGGAGGCGGGTGGCGGGTCCATGGAGAGCGTCATCGTGGTCGCCTTCTGCACCGCCTGGTGTCCGGTCAGAGACTCCAGAGCCACAGAGCCCAGGTACCACACGTTACACGCTGCACAGCAACACACAAACAGACGCACAACATGAAGGAAACCGCTCTGCGCACAATGAAAGTTATCATATATGGATTGAATTCACCTTAAAAGGATGGTTTTTTTTGTATATTTTGCAGCAGATTCACAAGTTTTAACTAATGCTGATGCTGTTGATGCTAAATAACACACACAGGTTATTGTGTGTGTGTGTGTGTGTGTGTGTGTGTGCGGTGTTCGTTGTGTACCTGCACCCTGTTTGAGGAGCTCAGCTGCTGAGTTTGTTGATGTTTGTGCAGACGTGTCAGTCAGCTCCTCCACAGGGTCTGCAAACACAAAAAAACGCAAAGATGAAAGAACAAAACATAAACTGCAGGTGCACACCTATGAACAACATTAAAGTGGCAACAGAGTGAAAACACTTTCGGTGTCAGGGTTAATTGTAACAATGTTCAGAACAGGTTTGGGATTGTGTAAATCCAAATCAAACTAATACTGAGAAGTGTCTCTTCATGTGCAGGAAATATATTTTTACTAGAAATCTTTTGGGTTGTGATGATTGAAATCCAACATTTTGTAAACCTACTGTCTTGGAAAATTGAATAATATGGCTGTTTGTGCACTGAACACAAAGTTATACTTTGCTATTTTTTAGATATTTCTCAAGTATAGTATGTTTTATGTGCAGGGACTCTTTGGGCGGAGTGCAGTTTAAAGGCAGGGTTGGTCATTTAGAAAACTAGCATGATTTGGAAAGTAGTATTCCCTCAATGCTCCATCTCTACACCCACACCCTCCCCTCTGCTCATCAGCTCATCACCCACTTTGAGTGTGGGCTCGTGCACGCTAGAGGTAGAGAGCGAGCAGGGAGACAGGGAGGCGTGTGATTGGTTCATCAGGTTGGTACCTCGTGGCAGACATTGGTTGAAGTTTTTACAGGCTTACAACTGCTACAGATGACAGATTTTATTTGTTCCTTTTTCAGAGCACATGAGTTATTAATTTATGTCAGGACCTTAAGACAATTTCAACCAACATCTTAAAAAGTGGATCTGCAGGAAATGACCAACCCTGCCTTTAAATTGAATATGTTTTGATACAAACCGTTTGATTGAATTTGAAGGGATAATCAGGGAAAAGAGGAAGCGTTAGATTTTTGATGCTCTGAAGCCTGCAAAAGGATATTTGGTGCTTCTCCGTATCAGACACACACAAACACAAACACACACACACACACACACACACACACACGGTCAGTGTACCTCTGTCAGGCAGTATGAGTTTACAGGGCAGAGCCAGCGGGGTGATGGAGTGTTGACACACCAGAGCAGTGAGACTTCCTGTTTGCAGAAAAAACAACATTCATTATGAACATTTTTTTTTACAAACAGCCTCACTGACTGAGCTGACAGAGCGGCCTGCACCTCATCGTACTGAGCAGCAGGGGGCAGCAGAGGGAACACATTGTGTCCTGCGACGGTGGTGGCCTCATGGATACAAACTGCTCAGTGGACTGACTCACACTAACAGCACTTTAAATGTAGTTTCCATGTGTTCTGGCCTCGTGCTGATGGAGAACATTACTGTCACCAGAAGATTCACTGTTTAAGGATATTTTCTGCTTTTCTTCCACAACAACATCAGAGCTGGATAATGTTCTTTATACCCTCCAGTATTTATCAGTATGGCCTTATTTACATGTCAATAACCTCCTCTAAGATAAGAACCATATTACAAAGCTCCAGTTACCTGACATTGTGCAGGTACGATTTTATTATTTAAATAACTTTAGCTCCAAAAGGTTGTCCGTGTAGGTTCTCAGACATCCAGGTCTTGGTACTTGGTTGAATATTTTAGAGACATGTCACCTCTCCTCCTCTCTGAAGAAGCCTTTCAGAAGGAGAGGTGTAACATCTTAACGATCTTCAACCAAGTCCAGTTACTTTGGATCAAACTTAGAATCTCCTAAATTTTGTGCAATGACGCAGTTTGCATGTATAACGTCTCGAGCAGCTTTGGCATTAAAACACTGTTTACACAGAGAACTAAAACAACAAGTTTGATATCTTGATGTCATTGAGGAATGTTGAATCTGTTCAGTCTGTGTCGTTTCCACTTGTTTCGCTATGTCCCAGAGCTCTCGTTGTGAATATTCGCTCTGAAAAGCTGATAAAAATCACATATAACCAAGTCTGTGTCTTTGCTATGCAACTTATAACAGGGTTATTACAGGGTAACCAGATTTCTTGCATCAAGTGATGGATCATCTTAATATGTCAATGATTCAATTTGCTTGATAAGCCCGACTGAAAAACTGTCAACCAGTTACTCTTTGTAGAAGCAGCTTCCAGACAAAGTGAATCCTCAGAAAATGTCCTGAATGATATTTAAATTGCCATGCTGTGGAGCCAGATCTGACCCACCTCACCCGCTCTAACTTTTATGATGAGATATTAGAAATTCAAGTATCTAATATGAGAATTGCTCTCTGTAAAAATGTCAGTATTCTCACCAAAGTATGGCTCGTTGGGGCAGCCCTTCAGACGAACTCCTTTCTGCATGCACTCGATCAGGAAGTGTCTCACCAGCTCGGTGGACAGATCTCCTACTGCACACACACACACACACACACAGTATGTTTTAGTCTATTTACTCACAAGTGACAGCACATTTTAGATAACTCAAGCATGCTAATAAATCTGTGAATAAATCAAATACTTGTCTCTTTGGACATCGAATAAATTATTTAAAAACATGGAGTATCCCTCGCTGTGTTTCCATGCATGTATATATAAGCATCCTTAAGCATTAGAAACAAACTACAAATGCGAACACATCTAGTATCTTGCCTACCTTTCTTACTCTGTTGTAGCACTGAGGGCGGCGGTGTGGCCACCTTCATTGCCAGTCCATACGCCCCCCTGAACGAGTGACTGTCTCTGACGATGAACGAGCCCGGCTCTTTGTCTTTCAGCACCGCGATGGCTGCGGAGAATACGAAACAGAGAGAGAAAGTCAAAATCGTCATGTTCATGCTGTGTGAGGAGCAAACGTTTGTTATCATGTGCTCAGAAGTGGCCGTTAGGCTCTGCGCTCCAACACCAATATTTACCCTGCTCTCTGGAGATGTCGGGCTTGTACCAGAACTTGGAAGTGTCCTGAACAAACTTCACAGTGTCCTGCTTACTGCCAAAGTCTGCAAGACACAGATTAAGACTCTGTGTTAGCTTTCAGGCTTTTAGGGCCAAACATGAAATCACAGCACGCACCAAATGTAGCGAGAGAGACTCTTAAAGGATGACTTCACTTTTCTGCTTGGACCTTCTGACACATTTCTGTTTTGGGGGTCATCTGACCATTTTTTAAAATATCAAAGTCATGCTTCAAACAGAATAATCTTGGTCAGTGTACCTGCTCCAGGTGACGGGGCCCCGCTCAGTCCTCTGAGGGGGTCGGGAGTCATGGGAGAGTAGAACGGGATGCTGAGGCTGCTGCTGCTGTGAGGGCTGGAAAACCCGCTCAGAGTTGGGGAGCGGGAGCCGAGCTCTCCCACATCACCCACTCTCCTCTTCTCAGGCAGTAGGGGAGGGAGGCCCCCATCCCCCATGAGGTTCAGGCCCCCGAGGCCCTCCACGGCCTCCAGCAGGCTGTGGTCCAGGCCGCCGTTCCCGAACAACAACAACGAAGACAAGTCCATGCTGTCGGTTTCCCTGGCGACCCCAGGATCTCCATCCAGACCCCTCAGAGCCCCCCGGGGCGAGCTGTGGGCATTGGGAGTACTGAGGGAGAGAGGAGGGGAGGGCTCGGGGGGGAACGGGGAGTTTAGGGAGTTTGGAGTCCGGTCGTGCCACACGGGAGGAGGAGTGGAGCTGAAGGACAGGAAGAGGGAGGATAAGAAGAGGAGTCAACACCAGGAAAAAGCTTCTTCTTTTTTTAAGGAAATGATTGAATATTTAGTGATACAGTTTATGAGTAAGTTGATCTAAAAGCAGAGGACGAAAGATTCCTGTTTTGTGCAATAAAGCAATTTCCTGTTTTTTTGTGTGTGTACCGGACGCAGAAGTCAAAGAGGCTCTCGGACTTTTGGATTTCTGTTTCGATTAAGAAGAAGAATGTTTGAAAGAATGCAGTTTATGTGGGAAGTAAGCCGACAGGGAAATTAATTTCAAAAAGGTAGCATGATTAATACTTCTGTTTGTTTGGGTATCTATAAGAAACCAGTCAGATTCTTGCAGTAAAAAGTCACTTTAACAAGTTAGAACACGTCCTCAGTTTGTCTGCTGGAATCAGACGCTCTTGTCATTGTCACATTGAACACTTGTCACTCTGCTGTCCCTCTAATTTAAAGAGAAGTGTTGCTTCTTAAATTACACAAGACGGACAAAGTGTGCCTCCATTTAGAGCCACTGGAAAAACACTTTGAAACCTCAGACTGTAAAATAGAAGTGAATGTAAATGGACTTGAGCTTGTTTAATGCTTTTCTAGTCTTCTGCACATTCACACACTGATGGTAGAGGCTGCTATGTCGAGTCCATCAGAAGTAACTAATCCATCCATACACACTCACACACCACCATCAAAGCAGTGGGATCAACTTAGGGTTAAGAGTCTTGCCCAAGGACACATCGGCCATTGCGGCAGGAACTGGGGATCAAACCCCCGCCCTTCAGGTTGAGAGACAGCCGCCTCTACTACTGAGCCACAGCCTTCCTGTAGCCGTTGTGATTTAACCTATTGTTGTGTGAACCGATCTTCTCAACCTTCTGAGCTCAGCATTTTTCCGTCTGCATCTTGTTTTTTTTTTTTTGGAAGAGGAAGTGACCATATTTGGGTGACAGGGTGGACACGCTTTGTTACCCTCCATCCTGACTGAAAGGCGACCTGTGGGAGCGATTTATGAATCAAACGTAGCCCCGCCCTGAAGTAGTCCATATTGTCAGTTTTACTCTTAAAAAGAACATCATTAACAGACTGAACATCGTGCTGTATTAAAGAGGACTAGAAAGTTATGATTGAGATAATGTGACCAATAGGGAAATGCTAACTAAGGATATAATAAAAACATCTGAGAAGAACGGCCATTTTTCACCTGTTTTATAGATTCTGGCCCATTTTGTAACCGCTGTAGTGAAACCGAAGTAAAGAATGCTACTTCTGCAAATTCTTATATCGGTCTTAAAAGTGTCCAAACTCTGACAAACAGACCACTCAGAGACACACCTGTGAATGTTGTGCCTACCTGTCTGTGTGTGGGAGGGGGCTGTCTGATGACACGGAGCACATGGAGCCAAAGATCCTCTGACAGGAAGCAGGTGTGACCGACACGTCTGATCTGAACCGCTCCCCCTCTGCGGGGCCGCCGGCGTGGTTCATACTGTCCAGGAAGCTCCGGGAATCTGACAAAGACAAACACAAGTTGAATCCTCTTTTGCCGGCACAGTTTGTCAAAGAATAACCAGAGGTACCATAAAGATCCATGAACTGTAATAACGGCCGTCATTTTACTACTCTGTGATGTTTGCAGACGTTGAGACGTTTCTTTGTTTGGATTACAGAAACATAACGGCATTCCAGCAGAGTCAAAAAACCCACTTCACTTTTACAAAGCAGGCAGTTTACTTTGATTACACCCTAATCCACACCCTAATCTCATGTCAACATCTACAGTTTTGTCACTACGATTTCAGCATGGTTTTTAATCTGTTTACCCAACGTGTTTTTCTTCTGGAGTTCTTCCTCATAAAATATCCACATCTCAGCTTTCTTCCCCATAGACGTGGCCCAGTCCTAATACTGCATCTTGTAAGGTTTTTATTTCAGCAAGAAAGAAATCCTAATCCTCATCTCACACTCCCGTCAGTCTGAGTCATTCACGTCTTAATGATACGTCGTAGTAAAGTGTCATCCCAAAGGTATTTCCCATCACACTACTTGAGTCAGATCACATCTCTAAATGTGAGTCATCACATGAGGATAATATTTTTTAAAGATTTATTTTTGGGCTCTTTGTGCCTTTAATGGAGAGGAACTACGGTGGATAGAGTCAGAAATCGGGGAGAGAGTAAGGAATGACAGGCGGGAAAGGAGGATAATCTTATCTTGTTGCAATTACTGGTTTCCGTCGCCTTTTTCAAATATGCACTCCTGAAAAATGTGGAGAGAAATTAAGGCGGGACTGCTCCTGAAATCCTCACGCTCTGGTTGTTAACACATGCACCTCACAGTGGGAGACTATCCCCGTCAGACAGGGTGGGGGAGCGGCAGGGAGTGTCCTGACCCCAAATTCCCTCGTAGTTCGTGCACAGGAATAAAGAGAAGAACTTGCAAACAACATGTAACTTTGTCTTGAGGTTGATCTGCTGTTCGTTTGGTGCCTGTTTTGACATAATGTTGATAAAGTGACAAAAAATATATGCGCGAGTCCGTATATTATGCTTTATTTTGAAATTGACCGGACGCTCTGTGCATTTCCTTGACTGACTTCCTGTCCAGGTTGTCATATTCCTTCCAGCTTGACGCGTGCCTGCAGCGTACTCCGTCGAAAAACACAATGATTGACTAGAGTGGCAGTGAACGTCGGCGTAGTACATTCAGAGTAAGTGGAAATTGGGGGTGAGACAAGACATGACGTCAATGTTGCGGACGAAGCAACATAGTCTGCTATATCACACTATAAAGACAACATTCGCCTCCATGACCCACTTTTGGGCCCCGACCCACCAGTTGAGAACCACTGCTTTACGAGGTGTTTTTTAAATGTTTGGACAGAGACGAGCTAGTTTTCTCTCCATCCTTCTTAACCTTATGCTAAGCTAAGATAAGCTAACCTCCTCCTGGCTCCAGCATCAGCAACATTTACCTGAGTGTACTTTAAGATGTCTAAGCAGCTGTTTTCCTTGCAGTATTTCTTATCATGCCGTATGGTATGGTACTTGACAACAATGTGAATACTTCATGCAGCATGTTGTGGTGTTGGAGGGAGGGCAGCGCGACATCCTGACACTCTGACAGCACACACTGTGTCATTCAGCAAACACGAGGGCAGGCCGCCTCAGGCCTGTGAAGTACCATGAGTCACCGTGTAAAGAGTCAATCATTAGAAAGAGCTCCTTGTTCAGGCTGGCCGCCCCCCATCCAGCCATCATACCCCTCCTCTCTTCCGCTCCTTCTCTCCATTCAGACTCTCGTT